CGATGACCGATTGAAAAAAAAAAAAAAAGAAAGTGACACTGTCGGTTTCATATGAGCGTGAGAACACAAGAAAAAAAGCGGAGAAACATAAAATGTGCATTTTTATTGTCTCCCATTTTTATCGTGAAAAAGTACGCCCAACTTTGGAAGCTATTGCAGCGGAAAAGAAAAAAAGACAGCTAAAGCGGAACAGTATCTTTGAAACGGACAAGAATAACGAAACAGAAACGGCTAGACATGATTCGTGTACAGGAATAAACGAGAAAATTTGAAACGATTATGAGTGATATCTTTTTTTTTTTTTCGTTTTAGTAGCCAGAAAGCTCAGAGAATGTCTTGTCCAATTCTTCGCAAATCGTTTTGCGTTTCTCCTTCTGCTGGTGCAATACGTCTGCAAAGAAAATCATTTGTGTTGCTCGATGAAGTGTCGCTCATCAACGCAGATATCTAATAACGAGCACTACCTTCGCAATTTCTGTAACTATGTATAACATTTTTCTTTTTTTTTCTTTTAACCAATCTCTCAATCGTGTTTAGTCCAGAGGCTAAAGTTCGATTAAATTTCTCGCGGAAAGAAACGTGAAAAGACACCGGTAATAAGTAACTATATATAACATTTTTCTTTTTTTTTCTTTTAACCAATCTCTCAATCGTGTTTAGTCCAGAGGCTAAAGTTCGATTAAATTTCTCGCGGAAAAAAACGTGAAAAGACACCGGTAATAATTAAATACGTTTCGCGACGTGTGCAGCGTTTACTAAATTGTGTTTGACGTTGTTCAAGGTTGGCAAATTGAGCCTTTGATTCCATTCCAGTAGGATAACGGAAGCGTTGCTGTCAGTTTGCCAAATTACGTCAGACACCCGTTTAAGTTCGGTACTCAAAGTAGAGAGATTATGAGAGTAAATATTTCACGAAAGAAAAAGAATAAACGTATCCCTCTCGTTTTCACGAAAACACGCTGTTCAAATGGCACTGGAATAGATGAGAACGAACAGATTGCAAGTTTACCTTCGAGCCTGTCAACCTCCTTCTGGAGCTTCTTGACAGTTTTCTCGGCAAATTCTGCACGGGCCTCGGCTTCCTTTAGTTTTACTGTCAGGGTCTTGAGCTGGCGCTTGAATTCCTCGACTCTTTGGTTGGCCTAATCGAATCCAGTCAGCGAGATTATTTTACCGATAGCCCGAATCGTCCTTTGAAATCTGGAATTGCGAGAAACTCACCTTCTCCTCGGACACTTCCAAAGATTTCAAGCTGTTACCGACGACTTTAAGCTCCTCCTCCAGCTCCATGATCTTGCTGCAACGTTGCAAATTTGAGTAGAAACACATAATTACCTCTGACTCTTTCACGAACACAAGAAACGTAAAAGAATCTGCAGTTTAGTTGTAACGATGCTAAAGGTGTGCGAGAACCAGAAAATATTGGGAACCCGATGGTCGAGACAAGTCGGGTTGGATTGGGTTCTCGAAAAAAGTCGAGATTCCCGAAAATTTCAAGAATCCGACTACCGTTTCTTGAACTACTCTGCTGTATAGCAGCCTAATATGTAAATACACAGTTCAATTTCTTCTGCCAGTGAAATTATTGGAAACACGGATTCTACGAACTAATAATGTGACCTGATGTATACAAACGCGTGACTGTGTGCTTAGTACTTGGATATTGTGTACGCTGCTCAGCAGTCTCGCTGAGACATCGGAGAGTTCAGACGTATATTTCGAAATCTGTGTGAATTTAATAAAGATTAAAAATCTTTAAAAAAAATATCGAGTGATAGTGAAAATAAAGTTGTGGTAGCAGGAAGCAGTGCAGAAGATATCGTGCAAAGGAAGAAGGTAAGAAAGACTCTGTTTGGGAACATTTTTAAGAAAAAGATGATACAAAGTCGGAATGCACACATTGTCGCCATGAATTTAAAACTAAGTATGCAAATACTACTGGTTTATTACGCCATTTGAAACGTATGTACCCAAACATAAGTATATGTACTAGAAAAGAAACTGAATCGATATAAAATTTCTCGCATGTACAAAATGATACGCGAAAGATTGTTAAACCAAAAGATATAACAGAGGGAATTGCTCGAATGATCTAGGTTCTAGATCTATGATCTTTCGATATAGTTGAAGGCGTGGGTTTTTTAACGAATTATTTAAGCTTGTCCCAAATCCCAACTCTTTCGGGAATTCCGATTCTTTCGAGAATCTCGAAATTTTCAGGCACCCGTCCCGATCCCGAAAAAATTCTTTCGCGTTCTCGCACATCTCTAAACGATGCACTTACGCCTCGCCGGATTTCACTCGATCTTCAGCGACTTCCAACTCGTCTTCAACGAAGGCCAGCTTTCGCGACACTTCGTCCGACTTTCCATCGGCGTCCTCGGCAAGCAGACGCGCCTCTTTCAATTGATTCGTCAGCTGATCCATCCTCTCTTCATCCTGTTGGGCACGGTTCTCCAATACCTTGCACATACTGCAATTGCAACAACTCTCGTTAACGTAATCGCGTCTCAATTTCAGTCATCGATTGGTTTCTTTTTCTTTTTTTCCCCTCCCCCAAACATTTACCGGCTGGATTCGTCAGCAGCTTGAGAGGCTTCGGCCAACTTGGCGGTGGCGGTGTTCAATCGTTCCTCAGATCTCTCCAAGTCCTCCTCAATCAGTTGCACTTTTCGGTTGAGAGCAGCGACCTCGGATTCAGCCTGAAATCGGAAAGTTCCCGTGACTCATTTGAGAGAGTTCTTCGCCCCTTCACGAATAAAGCAAAACAGGGAGAGAGCAGCGTAAAACTGACTCGCGCTGAGTCATCGATCTTAAAACGAAGGAACTGCAGAAAGTTCCTATAATTAATTTGAAAATTAATGTTTAAAAATTAACTTGGACCTGGGACACTGCTGGGATGTTGCTGATAACTCACGTTAGTCAAAGCTTTCTCCTTCTCCTCGAGGTCCTTGTTGGCCTGTTCCAGGGCTTGTTTGTTAGCCTCAAGATCGCCCTCCACCTGGGCAAGTTTCTTCGTTAGTTCACCGACTTCCTCGTTCACCTTGTCCGCGCGCATATTCGCCTCCTTCGCCTGTCCCTCGCAGGCATCGGCTTTATCCATCGCGTTGTCCTTCTCAAGCTTCATCGCTTGCATCTTCTTCTTGATCGCGTCCATGGTGGCGGCCTTTTCCTTTCGCCGGTTTCCTTCAAGAAACTATTCAGTTCGCTGAAATTCCCCATTTCGTTTAACGAACATCGGTCAAACATTATCCTCAGTCGTCTCTTTGATCGGGCGTTAGAGAGATTTAGAAGCACTTCGAACGTAGTTGAAGTTTGAAAAAGTTTGACGATAGTTTAGTGAAACAGCGTTTCAAATTTCTTTCCTTTCTGTGTTAGTAAAATTACATTTGAAGGAAAAGATTGTTTAGTGATTCTGTTTCTTATACAAAAAGATTTATAGTCCAATACCTGAACGCTTAGACGAGGATTATTTCTATATTTTACGGACCTTTTTCAAATTTTGAAACGTCATAAAATTTCAAAAGATTTACATCCTACATTGTACTTATTCTTCTAATTATATGAAAATATTTCTAAATCGCCAAATAATTACTACATAGATATTCCTTTTGTGACTGTTAATATCATGTTAGTGAAATTATATTTGAAGGGAAAGATTGTTTTTCATTGGAAGAAGAAGAAGAAAGTGGATGCAGGTATTCTTCAACGACTGGTAGAAATATATCCCTTGCAATTGTGCTCGAAAAGGTATAATGATTCTGTTTCTTATACAAAAAGATTTATAGTCCAATACCTGAACGCTTAGACGAGGATTATTTCTATATTTTACGAATCTTTTCAAACTTTAAACCGTCATAAAATTTCAAAAGATTTATGACATCCTATATTGTACTTATTCTTCTAATCATATGAAAATATTTCTAAACAGCTAAATAATTACTACATAGATACAAATTCCTTTTGTGACTGTTAATATCATATTATATACTTCTATTATATTATGTCTCACTAGTTATATCTTTACTTTAGTTACTACGAAACTCAGTCGATTTCGTACTATCTCTAAATCTAACAGATCCTTCCCATTTTCTATATCAACTGTGTCAAGCAAGTTGAAATAACAAGTCGAAATCCAAAAATCAACCAAAATATGTCTTTCTCCTAAAAATGAAAGCGTTCAAGCAGCAGCATAGCCTCCTTGTATCCGAACAGACTTGTTTCTCCCAGTTACTGGCAGACATTCCGTTCGAACAAAGATTGCCCAAACAACAATTCGGATAATGGTTGTTCCAGTGTACTTTCGCGATCCGCCGTATACGTTTCGGGGTGATAAACCGACGCGTGGCTGCGGCTCGTCATCGTTTCAACCGTGAAAATAGACGAACGGATACGCGGGCTTGCATAGTTTCACGATTGTAGGAGTGCTGCCCGAGTCATAATCCGGCGGGTGATCACGGTCCAGCATCGCGATGACGAGGAACGGGGCACATCGGCGCGTCTACGGAAATAGCATCCATAGGCAGGCTCTAAAAATATGCGCGGAACGACGAAGAGAGAGGACGGCGGCCGGCGTTGGTGAGGCCGCGAGAGACGAGGAGGGCAAAAAGCGCGAGCGTAACCCAGAAGAACGGGCTTTACTTGGCCGCCACCGACGACCGACATTCGATCTAACTGGCCGCGTATTAATAGCATTTACGAAATCATCGTCGCCGCCACCTCGCGATCTCGCGGTTCGATCCCGCATATTTGGTCCCTCCTGGATTTTGGTCAAGCAATATTGGGAATATCCCCCTTTCTTCTGTTTTTTTTTTTTTCCTATACTTCAGTTGCTTCGCCCTCCTTTCCTTCGATCGAAACCACAGAGGAGGTACGATTGGAAATTTTATTCAATTTATTAAATCGGCGAATGTTCACGCACCCGCGTATAGAATGAACATTAAAGAGATACGAAAGAGTAAAATATTTAAAGTGCGATAGATACTCCTGGTGATGTTTAGCTAGGCTGTTCGCATAAACATCCGCATTTTAGTTATTAATTAACCATTCTCACGCAGAAGTTTCGTTTTTTTTCGATCCTCGTTGTGAAATAAAGTATCAAAGTATCCTCGTGATCCAGCTTGATCCACAACTTGCTGTACCTCTTCCCCTTCCGAAGGTTAACGACGAATATATTTCACAGCCGTTTCGGAATGCAAGCGAAATACAGGATTGTACACGGTGGTCACGGGAATATTTCGATTCATGGAATCGATCATTCGGTTGCTGAATGGCCTACGTTCGACCTCATTTCCGGATATTAATAGCCACCTGGAGGGTTTTGGCATTTGGTTACCCATGAGTGCCAAAATGACACCGCGTCAAGATGCTGATCCTCAAGATTGTCAACAACAACAGCGGATTCCTTCGGTTATTTAATCGCCTGGACTATATTTCAGCAAACGAATTTTCGAGGAGGATTTTGGAAGAGGGAGCACAGAAATGAACGACGGTGCTACTTACAACATCGCGTTTTGGTTAGATCCAAAAGCAAATTCTTGAAAAGCGTTAGCTGAGCTGTTGTTAATTGGCAGCGGTTAAATACATGATTGCAAAAGCGTTCCGTCCCCTCGTGCCGTTGATCTTCCTGCAAGCATTTAAATCGCTGCTTGGTATATATAAACGTATAAATACTTTCATCAAAAGGAATTCGTCGAAAGGGATCTCGGCTTTCCAAAATACGCAGTTTCTGCCGCAGATTCACTAAGGCGAACGTTAGGCGGTTGAAAATAGCACGCGTAAACGAACGATTCGACCGGGTTTATTTTTGCCGCGAAGTGGACCACGACATATTACTTCCATATTTTCGGGGTTTTCTGTTATATACGTTTATAAATAACACCTCTTCGTACGTGACATTTTGACATTTTTAACTCTGACTGCGATCAACGAAACGAAACGTTCCATTGTTCAGCGAGAATTAACCGTCGTAAGATCAAAGTTAATTATATTATATTTTGAAGGAGTTTTCTGCGTTTTTTGTGCGCCGAGGGACGTCACGTGAGGATCAACATGCTACTTACAAGCATCGGCAAAGCAGTGTTTTGTCAAAAACCTTCGAGACGCCAAAGCGGGTTAAACTCGCTGCCAGAGTATCCAACAGCGTCGTTTCGCCGATGAATTACGAATTTTCTACGAAGCGCTTTCTCGAACTTGAAGAAGCACGTTAGTCGACGAAGCAGCTCCATTAGTAGCGTCGTGTGTCCTCGTGGTGGCAGAAATCAAACGATTAATCGAGCAGCCTACGGTCTTCCATTCTTCATCGAAGAACCCATCGTCGAGGACGAGAATCTTCAACGTCAATCGATGTTTCTCGTCTCGATGAATTCCGCACCAAGTTGTCACGCACACGTTCATCCGCATCCATTTCCTTTCTTTCTTTCACATTCGCGTCACGATCACCTTACGACAGCTCAAGTAGAACAAGCCAGGCTTTCGGGCATTGAAAACGAAGCGCAGAAACGAAGGCGAAAGAGCAAAGAAAGAGCAGCTCTCCGGATCGGTCGGAGAAGAGAAGAATAGCCTTCGGTGATGATAATTCACTTACCTAACCCGAGCGAGTAGAGCGGCGCGAGTCGAGTGTCCGGAGGGTGCTTGGAGAAGCTTCTTCCTCGGCGACGACGGTGATGATCGAGGTGGGGATCCCAAAAATGGACCGTCACAGAAAGTTCTAGGGGAGGTGGGGTCCTGCACGTTTATTTTCTGCTCGCCCTTCCTCGGAAATTTCTCTCACCTCGCCGATTAGATCCAGCGATCTTTCAATCTGCAGATCGATTACGAATGACGAAAAGAAAAAAAAGGTCCTCGCCTTTATATTTATTACGTTATATAAATATTAATTTATGTTTATATAATATTCATAAACATTATATATAATATAAATATTATAAATTATAATAAAATATAATAAATCTCACCTTATATTTTCAATGATTTTGTCGATGTGTTTTATTATTAGATAGTAGAGCCGAATTCGGTGCACTTGCGTTAAATTAACCTACATATTTATAAATGGTTTTTGAAATTATGAAGAAAGAAATTTTTCTAGAGCGATCTGTTCAAAATACTTTATTGGTCGAAATCAATTAGATACATCCACATTGAATCAATTTGAATTCAAATATTTCTCAGAGTTTAAGGTATTAAGCTTGATATTTTTCAACTACGTTAACATGCGACAGCTTCATTTTCATTTTTCAGTTGAGAATAGAAAAAACAGAACTGATTCAAAACCCGAATCATTTAAAAATACTTATAAAATCATTGAGAATATTCATTGAAGAATCATGCGAATTATTACAGTAGTGATATTATCATCACAGATGATTGAAACAAAAATACCTACTCGTTAAAGAATTTCTATTCGACGATTTGACCATGGCCCATCTCGTCGTTCGTTGCTATTTTTGAGTGTTTTGTACCGTGTTACCGAACAGAAGCTTTTAAACTAGCTGGTCAGACGGCCAGGAACAATAAACCAGGATAGTTTGAGTAACCTTGAAAAAAGACAAATAATTTATAATATTACCAACGATCAGAAAACCGTACATCTTCATCATGTGTGGTCATGTTTCTTAAAATCTACGATCCATCGGGTCGAATTCATCACGACCGAAAGTATCTTCTGGTTAATTTTATTCAACCTTGTTCCATGGATCTGAAAGAAAGACCGCGTTCGCTATATAGATCAAGTTCCAGGCAACGATCCTTCGATTCGTTTCACATTGTTTCTGTGTATCGATGATATACGAAACTTTGTAACATCATTCCGATAGAAATGTCGTTAAAAATTCGCTGCTCAAAATATCTGCCTTTAATAACTGAGCCAAACTCAGGCAGAGAAACAGAAAGCTTTCGAGAAACTGCAAGAGAATTGTCAAATTTGAAGAATCGTTAAAGATTTTCATTTAGCCCTAAATCTTAATGTAGGCTACAAAACATTAAAGCTGAAAGCAATAATGTTTACAGAATATTTATAAAGAAAATTCATTTCATCTTCTAGCGATATATAAAATATAAAGTACGCTGTTACTTTATGATTCTGAATTCTTCATTTTTATTTCTCAGTCATGATCAGTTACGAGTACATTAAAGTGGTGATGCGTACGACAGCGCACAACAGTTATAAAAGGATGCACAAATATCCTCACAACAGTTATAAAAAGACATCGAACAGTAAAAATTGAGTCGGAGCGACAGTGAAGATTCTTATTTGCTCGTAGAATTCGACAGGAGATTGTACGAGGAGTACGTTAGTTTCATGATCTACAAAACGAGAGAGAATTGCTGTTTAATTAGTTTACGATGTACTAACTATTGAAAATATCGAAATTCTACTAACTGTCGTGAAAGAGTCGACGGATAAAACAACAACGTGGCCACTGGTCATTTTAACAGGTCTTTTAGTTCTCACTAACACCAGCAGTAAATCCTTCATTAAGTCAGCAGGTAGTGCCATCCAGTCCATTTCATAAATAGCATCGCTTACTTTCTTGCTCTACGAATATTAGTTTACGACGTCAGTATGCAATTCGTTTGCAATTTGAGACGAGGGCTATTTTTATGAATTGATAAATTAACGAGTTATAAATTGGTATAATATTAACTGGTCGTGAGCTTCTCTTTACAATTCTGTAAATCAGTTTCGTAATCGGTTGATTTCTAATTTAAGATGCCAGAGTATTTTGCTTTATTAATATCCGTAACTTGTAATTAACTATTGAAATGTGCGCGCGTGTCCAATAAATCGCACAAAATCATTTTAATTTTTCATCAAAAATACACATCATTGAGCGGAACGACCCGTCTTGGAAATATATGTATTATCTCGTGCTATTGTACTCGAAGATGTAACGATCGAACAGAAAACGAAAGAGAGTGCCAACCTTCAACATCATCTCGTTCCCAAACCAACAGTATAAATACACCTGCGTGAGCATACAGCACAAATAGGAGCCGCTCCAAACGAAGTTCATACTGAACGGGTCTATCGTAGAGAGCTTGTAAATACTCAGGCACAACACCACCGAACTTATGGAGAACTGCAGGAAGATCATGTATTGGAACACGCTGTTCACCGTTTCAGCGAATCTGCAACGAAATCATTGTATGGACATCACACAGCAGGGATCCCTTTCGAGCTTTCGAGATTTCTAAAAGAAGTCGTGTCTATTTTTACTCGTAAATTTCGAGGTGATGTTCGACCACGTCCTCGAGAATTCTCCTGCATCTTATCTTGAACTCTTCGTCAGACACGCTGTTGCTTCTCGTCGCCGTCACCAAAGAGGAGAGATTTTTCACTCGATGACAGAATATTTCGAACTGCGCGCCGATCTGTATCATCAGTCCTGCGATCAACGTCTCGTTGGCTACGCTGGCATTTGCACAGATAAAGAGGCCAATCGTTTGATACACCAGGGAGATCGTGTACAGTTCAATAGAGGATAAATCGAACGGCATCCAGTCCGACAGCGGCAACCCCCTTATGCTTATGAGCTTGTTATACTGACCCACTGTTGCGAAGAACACTGAGGACTCGTTCAGAATCTCGCAGTATATCGCTAGTTTTCTGTAACAGACTCACGAGTAGTAATTCACGAAGAAAATTGGGAGAGACAGCAACAAGGAACATTATTCGATTGAGCTTTTTAATAATAAATATATGAAAGACTATTAATTTTCAAAGAGAGGAAACTCTCTGCATTTTTATCTAAAAAATATTTTAATTAGAAAAAATTCTCGATCAAGAAGCGACAGCTGCTTCTCGCGAAAGTGTAAGTTAATTCTGGATATCTTTTCTCCCGATTCGCACTATAAGTCGAATCGTGTCCCCCGTGTGCAGTCCACGAAAGAATAATTTCAACAGAGGAGACAAGAACCTGGCATGGTTGTCGCTCTTTCGTTGGATCAGCTTCTCCTGATCGTCTCTCGCCACACAATTCTCGTTCAACAGAATATTCATCACGTTTATGATCTTCTCCCGTCGAAGAAAGAGATTGGCCACTTTGAGACAGACGCCTACCACCGAGACGCACAGAGAGAATTTGTCGGACATGATCTTCAGACTCTTGCTAGTGAACGAGTCTACGCAGATACAAAAAGCGAAGAAGTACAGTAGCAAGATCATCAACACCGAGTAAACGTTGTACAATCGAGATTTAAGCGAAGTGGCCGGCCATTTTGTTGGTCTCCAGTAGCCGGAGATGGTGAGCAGCGCGAACGACAGAGGAAGTCTGTGCATCCTCCTATCTGTCTCTCTGTCTAAACTCTGTCTTTAAAAGACGATTGCCCAAAGAGCATTCAACGTCCGATACAAAAGAGATCTCTTTATAAAAAGAAGGATTATTATTTTATCAAAGAGAGAGAAAGAGAGAGAGAGAGAGAGAGTAAATTATATTTTCTTATCTTTTTACTTGGAAGAAACGAAGTACGAAGCGGAGTAGAAAAAAAAATTGAATTGCTCGGGTGCGAAATTAATTGCAACAGTTATAAATCCTCAAATTCGAGGTCCAAGTTGCACAACGAGGCTGTTTTTACCGACTGCGCGATGTTCTTTCGACTCGACCAGTTTTTTCCCTTCACATCGATCTTCCTCCTAATTATTATTACATCGCGTACGTATCTTACTACGCTTATTCCAACACGCATGGGAAAGATAAATATATCCGAGTGAAAAAGAAAAAAACTTTTGTAGACGAAATCGCGATCAAGAACGGAGTTAGCTGCAAGTTGACGGTCGTTGATTTGATTGGCTAGGAAAATCGTTATTCACTCGGGTTTTATTTCACTTCCGCGAAATTACGGAGTACCAACTAGCCGATGGAAGGCAAAATACGAAATCAATAGACGAAGAAAGGATCGAATTTGTCCCGGAAATACATAATGGTTCATGCATGTCTCCCCTCTACGAAAAATTAATAAACAATAAACTGTAGAACACGAAGCACATTCAGTCCGCTTTTGTCGGCCGCGAGGGGTGGAATGTTATGCGCTCACCGATCGGAGTTTTTGTTCTCGGCGACCACGTCCAGAAATTTAGACTTGTGAGTATTCAGCGATATTATTCTTAACAAGAAATTAACTACTTTTTTGCGCATGCACATTAGCCGTAAGTAGAGTTCTTTTTTTCAATTCTCTATCAATTTCAAGAATAAATTCACGTTTATAAGGATCGTCGATTACAATTATTTATGTACGTGGAAAGTTAGAAAAATTCTATTCAATATTTATTTAGCGATATCTTGTTTTGATGATCGGCTAAATAATACTTGTTTCATACTTAATAACTTATTCGATACAATTCGAGTCGAGATTCGAATACCGTGTCTTCGGTGTTTCCAACGGGTCGAATTCGCACTGAAATTGTTGAAAAATCTTAGTAGAATAATTCGAGAAATTGTTCGCCGAATTCCCACGGTTAAAAACTTAACTGAACTTCACTTGAGTGATAGAAATTTATTTAGACTTTGCATCTGCATGCTACACATGCTACACATGCTACAATTTTAACAACACTATTTTAACAACTCGTTCTCTTTTCCCGTTGCGCGGCACAGCAAAGAGAAGGAACCGTTAAGACCACGTACGCTTTATTTAGTTTGCAGCAGCATGTTATACGCTGAGTAAATAGTCTTCATCAGCTACAACGAGCAAAGCATTTTATAAAGGTGATTTAATTTCATTATTTAATAATTAATTTAACAATCAATTTAACACTTTTGCTATCGAGTTTATTACTGCGTTTTTTTTTCTAATTATTACGGGGTTAATTATTTGATTGAAAATTATTGAAACACATGTTACTCTGAGTATAGCGAAAGTGTTAAATTTATTTTATTGAGAATAAAGATTGAAAATATGGGACATCCAGAGAGCAAAAATCGACTAATATTTTCAGATTAAATAGGTATACTTTCGAACATCTTTATTTAACGTTTAAATTCACTGTTAGTTTTTAAAAAATGATCGTGTATTGTAGATCTCAAAGTACAAAATTACCTTTGAATCATTCTTCTGGACGGATTGATTGCGGAATTGATTTTTTTCAAGTCGAATTCAGATGTCGCCGAACATTTTTGACCAGATTAGTCTACTTTTGCTCTTTACGTTCTATAATTTTCCGTGTACTAACTCCCTTGAAGGATTCCAAATTCACGGGTAAAATATATGCGCTGATAATCTCAACGGGCGTCAACGAACGTGCCATAATTATTACCAGCATTTTCTTGGCGTCGTTGCTCAAATCCATCCAATTGCTATCGTATATCTTATTAGAAATATCGAGGCTCTAAGGAATGAATATTCTGTAAATTATTATTTTACAAGTTCGGCTGTAACTGCTAAATGCGTTTTGTAAAATTTATAGAGGAACGAAAATGCACTGGATGCTCGTCAAAATGCAAAAATATGCAGAAGCATTCTATTTCTTGATTTAAATTCACAGAAATGTAGATATAGATATTCGCAGTCTGACGATTACGTAAGTAATTACATACCCACCTTTATTTTCATTAAATCGCCGAACCAACAAAAATACAACGCTTGAATTAAGCCGGCAGTAATGAATATTATCGATTGTAGTATCTGCGGCTTTGCGTTTGATTCAGTTACTTGATAAATGTTGAAGCATATCGCCACTATGCTTATTATAAATTGCACACTTATCATTTTGCTAAATAAATTGTTTACCAATTCGACGAATCTGAAATAACAATCGGGACCAACGTTATTCCGCCGTTTTATCGAAACTTTGATTACCGAAACTGCCTCTTTTTTTTTTTATCTGATTTTGCGCCTTTTTCCACCCTCTTCTTAATTTCAACCCAAAAATATTAAATCGTCGCTTGCCATAAAATGTTTAAGAGTAAATTTCAGATTTAAGAATTCCGTAAAATTTTACCAGGGGTTTTTTTTTTTAGTTATTAAAATATTCGCTTTTGTTATGCTTTTTCCCTGTGATTTTCGATTAACTTCGTTGGTTTGCTACTTTAGTGAAATGAAAGCACAGAGGCGACAAACCTGAATATGGTATTATGATGCCAAACGCAGTGTTTCAACGATTCGATTTCAGTTCCTTGGATGTTGTACAGACGGTTCACGAGTATGTCGAGTTGGCAACAGATTTGAAGTAACAGACCGGCGAACAATGTATCGAAAATACTGATACTAATTGAAACGGCCACTGAACCTATGCACTGGTAAACGTAAGTCAAGCAAAACCTAAGCCAAGAGGACGTCATGTCGTAAGGTGTCCAAAAGCGAAACGGTAATTTTTTTAATCTAAAATCGCTGATCGTTGATATTATTACTAAGCTTGCTATGCAGAATGCATTTTGAAACGTGTAAAACATCGCAATTTTTCTGAAAAGAAGAAATGAAGCACGATATTTCGCATAGTTTCATTACAATTACACATACTATATGATAGAGGCTACAAAAAGTATTTGCACACCATTATACATATGTATGTATATACATTTATCAAATATCGGATATTCAAAGCAGAAAAAGAAATATTCTGAACATTTTATGATCTTAATTAAAGTTAGTAAATTTACAGTAATTCCAAAAATATTGACACTTGTTTAAAAAAGAATGTCTAAACATATCGGAGACCTCGAATAAAATTATCATACGTACACTAGAACTAGTGAAATTTATTTTGATTGTACTTATAATAATAATAATAATATGTCTTTACACTTTGATAAAATCAGAGTAATTGTATATCAAGTTCTAATTAATAAATAGTAAATTAAGTAACGTTTGAAAAGTAAAAGATGCAGATGCATGTGATTGTATGTATTGCATGTTATATTATATTATATCATTAATTAATTAGATCCAAATATGATAAATTTCGTTTTATCTAGTAGTCTATTCCAACTATTAAAAATCTGGTACTTCGAGAATGATATATAAAACCCGATGGATATAAGAAAATGTGCGAATACTTCTTGCAGTTGTTTTGCACGTTATAGCGAAGAAGACGCTTACTCAGTTAGATTGTTGTATCTCGCGTGAATTTCCATTTCTCTCGCGTTCTCTGGTAAAAATGGCTTGTTCTTGAGCAAATCCAGTATATTTATGATGGTTCTCCGCTTCAGGACCAAGTTTATGTATTTACAACTGGTGATAAACACGCTGGCACTATTGCCAATATTGCCAGTGAGATCTTCTTGGGTTTCCACGTTGTAGAAAATATCCAATATCTCCATGGCAGTAATGCTCCACATGTGAAACGTCATGAACACCGTGTACAAGTTGTAGAGAAACCGTTTCATCGGAGATTTCAACGTCGGGGGTAGAAAGCACCCGTTAGCGACGGAAAGTTTCAACGTCCATCGTAAAACGTGCATCGCGATTTTCACTCCACTTGGCGACCTGTGTCGACGAAAATTCGATAACTCAATCATTAGTAGAGTTTAATCGACGATATGTATTTTAAGAGAATAACTGTACCCTAAGAGACCTGTACCAAGAGAAAATGTTGAGACGAAAACGTGTCAGACGAAATGCAAGAACGAAGATCACACAGTGATGAAAAAATCGAGTTTGTCTTCAGAGTGGCTCCGTTGTTCGAAGCATCAGGTTCGCTACTGACATTTACGACACACACACACAGTGTCACCGATAGTTCTTTACGCTCCCTCAAATGGGATAGTTCTTCCCCTCATAAACTTGCCCTCGCGCAATTAACATAATTGTTGTGTTATTCCTGCCGCGATGCAACAACGCGAGGAATTTAATTTTTAAAGACATTTAGCCTGACAGTTCTGTGTATTTATTGCGTTATAGATTGGTCGTTTCTCTGTTCTTAGTTCTTCGTTTCCAACTTTCGTTTGCCGAGTGTAAAATATAAATGATCTAATAGGCAAATTAAACGTCATCGCGTGTGTCGCTTACATTCTAACTGTGGAGACATAATTGTTCCAATACCCGGAAAAGAAGAAGCACAGACGCGAGTATCGATTTCAACAGTTCTCTCTGGAAAATTCTCGCGAGAAGACCTTTTATATCTTAAATCCAACGTAACTCGTTGCAAATCTTTTCACGGAAATTTTTCTATGATTCGAAGTTTATTAATATTATTTTTAAAATATTACGTTCTTATACAAAATTCTTTCAAGTGCGAATTTAAATTCATTCATGTTCGAGAATATCGTTAGAAACTCTGGTTATTTTCTCATATTGTATGTACGTAGATATTCTCTATAATTTTGTATCATTTTTGCACCGAAATGCGCAGTCTATTAATTACATTATACTTTGACAACTTTGTCCTTGTTGCCTTCTCTTTATAAAGTGTTAAAGATGTCGATATTCCTTGGGTTCGTCCACCCTCGAATAGAGCTATCCCCTCTCGGAATTAACCGCTCTATAATTATCATAACTGCTGGCAACAGGTCGTTACAGTCTTGGGGTTCGTTTCTTTACTACATACGTAATTAGCGACTGTTCCCCATGCATAATTAAATTCTTTCCCCGTTGTGTAGTTTTCGTTACGATTAACCGTTTGTTTAGTTACGTTCTGACAGCGAAGTGAAGAAGACGACTTTTAAGTATGAAAACGAAACAAGACGTGTCAGCGCACAAAAGGGAGAATAAAGGGCGATGTAAAGAAAGAGAAGTTGGCACAGAATTATATTTCTGACGCTACTAATGAAGAGTTTAACCCTCTATAATATCGTGTTACTTGCAAGTTATTTATTTTGTCTGTCTCAATAGTGTATGTCACTGATATACAGAAATACCATACCAAGTAGATTATTACTAGCTTTACTAGATTCTGGTTATAGAGGGTTAATCAGATTATCGAGTATTTTCAATTTCGAATCGTTCGTTGTCGGTGGACGTGATAATAAAATAATAATTCGTGAAAAATGAGAAAGACAACAAAGGAAAAGCGAGGCAAAGAGTTTCACATAGTTTATTAGAATGCACTCTAGATACTCTAGTGCACGTGTTCTGTTCAACTTGGTTTTCTTCTCTTCCTTCTCTTAGGTGAACAACAATTATTACTCTATTCGGAAGAATCGAAGAAAGACGGTTCTACGTTACGTTCCACTTGTTTTCAGGACTCCCGGCTCTGTTGCAACAGACTGAATACAGAGTAAGAGGTCTTCACCAACTGTAAAACATGCATATGGAAGTTTTCAATGCAAATAGAAAGAGAGAAAAGGATGACTGAATTCTCACGATACTGACTGTCATGAAGGACTCGAGATTCACGGAGACAATATAAATACTGGTAAATTCAATGGGTTTCATGGCACGCTTCATCAACATCAGGAAAGCCTTCTTCACGTTGGTATTCAATGATATCCAGTCGCTTCTGAATATCATGTCAGAAAGTTCCATACTCTGCATGAAAAATCGTTGTAATCACTTTTACTGAACGGCTACGTGTAAAATTTTCGAAGATGATGAGATCCTCTACAAACAGAGACTACGAGTAGGTATTTATAACACAATACAATTTTTAATATTGGAAGATTAGATATTTTCTTGCATGAAATTCGTAGTCTAATTGTAATCAAACATTTCTTCAATCTATTGTAATCGGGATTTTCACGTGCAAATTTTTATAAGTAAACATTGCGAAATCGCTGAAGCAAAGCTCTCTGGTTACGATATATTTTAAAAAAATGTAACAAATGTTTATTTCGAGTCTTTAATTACATTTGAATTTAGTTTTTGATTTAATCTGAATTTGCTTGAGAATGCTTCTTCTGAGTATGTTACGAACAGTTTTGTATCCAGTTGAAAAGGAAAACCAAATTCAGGTCCAACGCGTTTGATACTGATAGAGAATCCCACCGTAAGGTGTAGCTATAATTTTCATCGTAACGTAACGAACCTTAAGCTTGACCTCGTTGCTGAACCAACAGTAATAAAATATCTGCATCAACGAGCAGGTCATGTAGAGGATCGTCCCGACGAATCTCGAATCCATCTCGATCTGCGTTATTCGATAGAAATTGAAACAGATCATCGACAGGCTCGTGCAGAATTGAAAGAACATGATCGTCCGGAATTCTTCGTTCACCATTTCGCCGAATCTGCAAGTTGATAAATGCGTACAGTGGAAGAGAGTGCTGCGCAATTGTTTCCTCTTCACGCAGCTGGCAAAAATAAAGATCAACTGAGAAATTCGCTCGTATTGTGAAACTCACCTGTATATGTCATTATGATGACGAACACACAGGTTCACGGAGTAATTCTCGTTCGACTCGATGTTCCTCAGACGATGCTCCAGTATCTCGAACTGGCAATTAATGTGTATCAGTAGGCCGCTGTACAGAGTATCGCTGGCGACGCAGCCGAACGTGCATATTATCGCGAATAGGCACTGATAAGCGAATGTGAGCAAGTATGCAGATACAGACGAGTAGTCGAACGGTATCCACGTTCGAAACGCCAGTTTTCTGCGCTTGAAATTCGTCAGAAGCGACAGCACGAGTATGCAAAAGTCGGAGACCGTGAGTAGGGTCATGTAACCAAGTGTGTTCAAACTGGAAAAGAGTAATATTTTAATCGAAGAGACGATCAATTCTTTCAGCGGATTGTGAACAAATAGTATCGTATATCTTATTTCTTATATCTTATGTCTGCTCCTTCGAAACATTAAATTTGATATTTTTATTATTAACTTTTTGGAAGGAAACTACATTTATTGGAAGACTATCAAAAAATTAAATTACTGTTTAATACTTTATATTTCGTTCCTGTTCTGTTATTATTTTATTACGAAACCATCAAAAGTTGTACATATATGAAGAAAATTCTCATTTCGCACGTTTTCATCGTTGACAAACTTACTCGGTAATTTTCTCGAATTTGAAGGAAATGTCGAATTCCTCAGGATTCATCGGCAATAATGGCTCTCTCTGCAGCGTGTCGCATAAAAGCAGAAAGTTCTCGCGGAATATCAGTATGGTGAAAAGCTTGAGGGACGTGACGAACACCACCACCGTCACGGAGAAGTTGTCGCTGAAGTCGTCTGTATTTTCCACGTTGTATACCATGTCCAATATTTGAGAGAGAAAGAAACTGTTCAAGACCAGGAACGAGAACGCCGCGTAAATATTATAGACGAATCTTTTCAGGGGTGTCTTCCACGACGGGGGTGGGAAACAGCCGCACAACGTGAACAACAAAAATGTCCACCGCAGTACACGCATCGCCGACATGTGAAACTTTTCTTTATCCTTCGTTTAATTAAGGACCTTACGAGGATCGACACTGACAGTCGAGATACAAGGCGACACAAGGCGATACAGCAAGAGTTATAGCGAGTAATTATTGATTAGGGATGGAAGGAAAGAAGGAAAGCGCAACTACCCTCGTGCAACTTTTGCTGTAATTTCGAAACGTCACCGGCAATTGTAAAATATTCGTTAGTCAATAACCCCCTTGCTTCTATAAGCTGACTTTCTACTTTTTTCTACATTTTACCGCGACTTACCCTTCGGTGATACGTACCATTACTCTAATAGCGGTGCGCGACACTCATTACAAGTATAACTGGCTACTTAAAGAATAATGAATCGACCCCGTCGTACTCGTATCTTCATCGTGCTTCTCTTCACATTATCGTCTATTGCCAGCTAATACGACAACGAATATTTACCTCTCAGCGGTATTTTATAAAACGAAAGGGGAGATTATTGCATTATCTAGAAATTGCTCGGAGGAATTTTCAGTGAGAGACACGAAGCGACAAAGAGGTCAGACGAGAGAGGACAAGCGTCCAGTCCAGTCTTCTACGATCAAAGGAAGTATTCGCGGACGTTTTCAGTAGTTGATAACGTAAAGTTTATTGCTGTGTATTTTACATGCATTGGTACATCTGTGGAACTTATTCCTGCGGAAGAATCGAAAGAAACAACTTCAAGGTACGTTTTTTTTCACTTGGTCTGTTTCAGCAAGTTGAACACCGAGTACGACACTTTCATCAGCTGTAATAAGAAAATTAGAATTTATTTCGTAGATCGTTTTTCTTTCGTTTCGAAGAATTAAGTGTTTCGTAATTAAATGATGAAAGTAGGATTCGAATGAGACACGCTTTGTTTAAAGAAGGAAATATCATACGATTACCTATTAATATCAATTATTGTTATTTAATATCTTTGACGAAGGGTGTGTGTACTAGAAAACATAGTGAGATACTCTCTCATATAAGTTCAGCCAATTTTTAAAAATTTCGAGGCGAAACTGTAACGTGAAGTTTTGGAATACAGTAATTAAGTCGAATTTCACAGTGTGCCACACTGCTTTTATTTGTTACATACGCCAGCCATTATTTCAAATATAGATTTTCAGATTACATCTCATTATTTAAATTTCGAAATATAAACCTCGCGAGATTGACGTCCCATTCGAAACATGCCTCTTGATACATAGTGACTGAACGTGATGAGAGATTGAAACAAGTGCGACATCATACATCGGCTAATACTAACCGCCACGAAAGACTCGATATTCAACGTTACCAAGTAGCCACTGGTGAATTCGATAGGCCGTGTTGTTCGCGTCATGAGCACTAACAGAATTTTCTTTGTCTTCACATCCCACGATGTCCAATTACTGTTAAATATCATACCAGGCACTTCAAGACTCTGCAATAAGAAGATTATTGCACGAAACGTTTAATAAAAAAAAAAGAAAGAAGGAAAACTCTGTTCTTTTCCGTTTCGATGACGAACCTTCAGTTTCACTTCGTTACTGCACCAACAGTAGTACAATATCTGCGCGATAGTGCGAATTAAATAGAGCGAGGCTTCCAGAAATTTAAGAACTATCGTTATGTTGGTCATTCGATAAAGATTGAAGCACAACGTGAATGCGATCGAGCAAAATTGTAAAAAAATTACTGTCTTGAATTTCTCGTTCACCGTTCTAGAAAATCTGCCGAGAAAAAGAGTATGTATCTTTTGTTAATAAGATTCATTAAATGTCCCTGAGATCCTGTTAATCTGATAAAATACTAGATTGTGTAATAAAGTCGTAGATATGTATATTTTTTAAATTATTTAATGATCACTCGCGAAAAGAATAATTTTTAAATATTTCAATAATTTCAAACACCGAGTCATAAAGAATTTGTAATTTATATAGTAACAAACAGTTCTTTTACTAAATGTACGACAAAAATTAAAAAGAAGACACGTAATGAAATATTGATAATGCCAAGATTATTTACAGGCTTTTAATCGTTTCATTGGTTTGGTAATTACAGCGTTAAACGATGAAATTATAATCTGTTATCTTATTGTTATATTGCAGTTGACGTGAATAAACGTATCAAAGGCAAACGAATTTATTACACAATCGATTGGAAGAAAAATTCTAGACGAACTTGTATATCTTTTGATAATGTTTGACGCATTGCTTCGCCGAGTGATTCTCGTCTTTCTGAATATTTTTCAGACGTTTCCCGAGTATCTCGAACTGGCTGTAAATTTGGATCAGCAAACCAGAGAATAAAGTGTCACAGGCGACACTTTGGCAAGAGCAAAGCATCGCAGTGATACCTTGGTAGGCGTAACTGAACACGTATGGCAACAGTTCCGAATAATCGTAGGGTAACCAAGCCCGGAAAGTCAATTTCCTCTTCTTGAAATCCGTGAAGTACGATCTCACGAATATCGATACCGCGGCCACTTCTACTAAAATTGTGTAAACTATCGCGATTCGCCTGTAAGAATGTTAATTATAATTCTTCAACTTGTTGACTTATTAATATTCTCACGTTAAATGTTTGTGGGAATGTTAATTTTCAACAGCGTTTAAGTTGTGCAGTTCTAAAAAATTAAATAGTAACATGCACAACATATCATTTGAGCAATGCATAGTGAAAATAAGAAAGAAATTGCTGTAATTCTACAATTCTAAAATAGGATTACAAGAGGAAATTGTACGTCCTAAGAAAAATATTAATACTGATATTACTAAATTACAAAAATTCTTTCATCTGCTGCTATACATATCAATTCTTGAAACTAATTAGAAAAGAGAAATAATAGTTATCAGTATTAAAGGAAATTATATTAGAACTCAGAAATTAATATTTTTCAATCGTGTTATTCCTCAAAAAATCTTGAAAATCTCTTCAACGTCTAGGTGCTCATCGTTGAGAAATTAATTTTTTTGTAAACTGAAAAAAATAATCGCCAGTCGGCGATAATACTCACTCGTTCATTTTGTTGATCTTGCTTCGAATTTCCACCTCCTCGTCGTTGATCGTGGAGAATGGCTCGTTTTCGAGACTGTCGATCAAGGACAAGATAGTTCGACGATTCTTCAACATAATGCTCAGTTTGCAACCGCAGACAAACACCACTAAAGTGATGTAGAAATTGTCGCTGAATTGATCCTGATTCTCCACGTTTATGATTATGTCCAGAATCTGAGCGGACGCGAGGGAGAATATCAAAAGCCACACGAACAACGTATAAATATTGTACAAGGACTTGGTAAACGACGACGTCCACGAGCTCGGCGGCAAGCAGCCGCAAATCGAAAGAAATATACGCGAACATTGTAACGTGTGCACGGTCATTTTCAAAATCGGTTGAAATTCTCGGTGTGCTCAGCTCGATTTTACATCGTCAGAAAACCTTATTGCTTATTGAAATTTCGACCAAAATTAACTATTTATTTTCCACGATAAAACAGAAACAACAGAAAAACACGAATGCGAGTAGTAGGACTGTCAGTGATCCAATTGTTACTGGCTATCTCAGAATATTGACAAGTTGCAACCTTTTGGGGGAACGCATGTTCTTCCGGATCCACTTACCCCCACTGGAATACGTTCTATGTCATTACGTTTGTTAATGTTTCAACGATCTGTCTTACGGTACGATACTTGTATATCCTTCCATTTNAAATTCTAGACGAACTTGTATATCTTTTGATAATGTTTGACGCATTGCTTCGCCGAGTGATTCTCGTCTTTCTGAATATTTCCCAGACGTTTCCCGAGTATCTCGAACTGACTGTAAATTTGGATCAGCAATCCAACGAATAGAGTGTCACAGGCGACACTTTGGCAAGTGCACAGCATCGAAGTGGTAACCTCGTAGGTGTAACTGAACACGTATGGCAACAGTTTCGAATAATCGTAGGGTAACCAAGCTCGGAAAACCAGTTTCCTCTTCTTGAAATCCGTGAAGAACGATCTCACGAACATCAATATCGCGGCCACCTCTACTAAAATGGCGTAACCAATCGCGATTCGCCTGTAAGAATGTTAATTTTAATTCTTCGATGATTTGCTTTTTTCTTTTTCTTTCATTCAGCTTGTTGACTTATAAATTTTCTCACGTTAAATGTTTGTGGGAATGTTATTTTTCAACGGCGTTTAAGATGTGTGATCAATATGCAGTTTTAAAACATTAAAATGGAACAAGTACAATATATCATTTGATCAATGACATGGTGAGTGATCGAAAGAAAGAGAGAAAATGCTGTAATTTTACAGAATTGGATTAGAAGAAGTAATTGTACGTCTTTAAGAAGAATATTCAATACAGATATTACTAGATTACAAAAATTCTTTCATCTGCTGCTGTTACGGCAAGCTCGACGGTGAACGTTAATTGCTACCCTAGCTCGCTTCGCTGGTTTCTCTCTCGTCGTTCCTTTTACAGCTTCCGGAGAGATGTTTTGATGAATGAGGACGAGATGTAGAATAAAATACTTATATTTTACTATTAATACAAAGGTTGATTATAAACTGTGTGTTGTGAGCCGGGAGAGGGCAAGCTAGCTCTCCTCGTGACTGACGCGGAGTCCCTTCTCTGATCGATCGCTTGTGACTGCTTGAATTGTCTATGTGTGACTGCCTAAATCGTCTATTCGCTACGTGAATCTACGTCTCTTTTAGAATTGTTATGCGATTCTTTTCGGGAGTCGGCCAAGGCGCCTTGTTTCCTAGACTAGGCTTTGTTTATGCCCTACCGAGCCTTTCCACATACTATCTCTCCCTCCAAGGCCAGAGAAAGTGTCCTTAGGTGAGAGGTATATTAGCACATCTGGCAATTCTCGGCACAAGAAGGGACGAGGCTTTGTAGGAATTGACCTGACTGACGCCTCGGAGGGTTCTGTTCTGCGCCAGAACAGCTGCTATACATATCAATGCTTGAAACTAATTATAAAAGAAAAATAATAGTAATCAGTGTCAGAGGAAATTAAATTAGAACTCAGAAATTAATATTTTTCAATCGTGTAATTTCCCCAAAAATCTCGAAAATATCTTTAACGTCTAGGTGCTCACCGTTGAAAAATTAATTTTTGTATAAATTGAAAGAATAATCGTCAGTCGGCATACTCACTCGTTCATTTTGTTAAACTTGCTTCGAATTTTCACCTCCTCGTCGTTGGTCGTGGAGAATGGCTCGTCTTCGAGACTGTCGATCAAGGACAAGATACTTCGACGATGCTTCAACATAATGCTCAGTTTGCAACCGTTGACAAACACCACTGACAAAACCAATAAAGTGACGTAGAAATTGTCGCTGAAATGATCCTGATTCTCCACGTTGATGATTATGTCCACAGTCTGAGCGGACATGAGCGACAATATCAAAAGCCACACGAACGACGTGTAAATGTTGTACATGAACTTAGTGAACGACGTCCACGAGCTCGGCGGCAAGCAGCCGCAAATCGAAAGAAATATACGCGAACATTGTAACGTGTGCACGGTCATTT